AGATGTGTTTTCTTTATGTCTCACTAAGTCATCGACTTAACCGCTTTTACTTTAATGAAATGTTTAAATTTTCTTTGAATTTTGTCAAGAGTCAAAGTTTGAAAAGTCAATGTGACACCTCATACTCGTATCCGGGTCGGATACAGGTTGGGGGTGTTACAATATCACTACCTCCAAGAGGTAAAACTCTGAAATCATGGATAAAAGTGAAGTCTTGCATTTCCTAACTTAGTTGTTTATCTTTGCTATGCTGTAAAGTCTATCATCATTAGCAACAGTCATCACCAATGGATTAGTTTCTTCCACCTCCAATCCTTCCTTGTCCTACCTATTAGTGACAAAGTTATGTGTACTGCCACTGTCAATCAAAATACTAAGTGGTTTCCCTTTAATGAACCCTTGGATCCTTAATGTGCTACTGCCAGAATTACCAGTAATTACATTCATAGAAATCTCATGATCTTTTTCTTTTATTGTCAATTTATCACAAATATTTTGTATTGTCTGTAATTCCTCTGATTCTTCTTGGTCATCCACTTCTTCCATTGAATTTAATTGTTTCAGCTTGCATTGATGGCATGGAGTGAATTTATCACCACGTTTATAACACAGATTATTTGCTCTTCTATATTCCAACAACTGCTGTTTGTTTTGGGCCAACCCTTGGTTTGTCTTTAAGGTTGAACTCAGGGAGGAATTGGATGATCTATAACCAGTGTTATATCATTGCATTACTGACATGAAAACACTTTTTAATTTCTTGTTTTCCACTTCTAAGGATAGCTCATAAAGTTTAGCTTTTCTAGCAGTTTCAGCCACAGTTTTAGACTCCAAAACCTTTACTTTATGTTTCAGTTCCTCCTTAAGGCCACTCAAAAAACTTGAAACAAAATAGTCCTCTCCTAATTCAGGATTAAGCTGAAGAAGGAAGGGTTGAAGTTCTTTAAACTGAGTTTCATACTCTTCTACAGAGGATAGTTGAGTTAATTTATTAAACTCGTCTATCACATCAATATATCCTTTAGCAGAAAATCTATGACATAGATCAAAAACAAATTCATGCCAAGTAACTCTACTTTTCTTCATAACATAGCCATCAAACCAAACTTCAGCTCTACCAGTGAAATACATAGCAACTATCTTTAACTTCTGAAACTCAGGAACAATAAAAATAGAAAAATACTTCTCACATTTTCTGACCCAACTCCTAGGATTACTGCCATCAAAGAATTGTAGTTCTATTTTTGGTTTTGGAATAAACATACCAGTATTGTTGTTGTTGGAATATTTTTCCAGAAATGAATGGCCTTTAATGATCGATTGCTCCCCCGATTCAGTTGTATGGTTCACTGCTTTCATTTTTAGAACATCATGAACTTGTTGCATAGCATCCTGTGGCAGAATAGGTTTAGATGCTAAAATTCCAAGTTGTCCCAGCTGAAAGGAATATTTTTACGCTTATAAATAACTGTGACTTGTAAAGGCAATTTACTTGGTTCTTTAAGCTGAACTGTAGGTAATGGTTGTCTTTCTGTAGGAGAAGAATGTCCTGATTCAATTCCAGCCTTTTGCATCAATCCCAAAAGTTGCTGGAGCATGGTTTTCGTTTCATTTGTAGTAGTCTCCAAAGCCTGCATCCTCTGCTACAAAGCGCTCTGTTGACTAAGCCACCAAGTGGGAATCACTTCTATTTCAGAAGACTCAGCTGGATCAGCAGGAATATCAGGCGGTTGCTCAGTAAGAGACATTTGCTGTGTTTTCTTTGCTTTACCCAGTTTGAAAAAAAATTGTACTTTTGGATCAAAAAACCGTGCTTTGATTACCAATTGTGATGATTTGCTCAAGAATTTTAGAAAGGATTAAGAAAAATAGAGAAGATAGATTGAAGAAAACTTCATTCTCAATATTTCATTCATAACTTCATTCGTTTCTTTACAACCAATATATAGTTGAATTTGTTAAAATTTAGTGCCAGCTGTACTGTCCTTGCATAACAACTAGATTCCTGTAACTGATTTTATCGTTTGGATTCCACTGCAGACTGTTGGGTTTTGGTTCTCCAATTTGGGATCGTTCTTCTCTGGTCCACACCCATTCGATCCACACAGCCCGTTCTTCTCTTCAGGTATGTTTCCCGCTTGGTCCATCAATTTTATTTCATTTGTTCCCAAAATCCCTAATTCTTTCGTTTTCCCATATTCTTTCTCATTCCTCTCCATTACCGCCTCTGATTCCCCAAATCCTTCTCCATTTCAGCCTCATGAATCATGACAGAGCGTTGGAAGGTGATTCTTTTCTAGTGTGTTAAATATCATTTAAGCCTAAAAATAATAAAGATGTTGGATGGTCATTAATGATTTTAAGTCAGAGTTCTACAAATCATGTGAAATTTCTTGTATTATTTTTAAATGTCAATAAATGTTATGATATTAAAAAAATTCACGAGTACTATGAACTTGTATAATATTATCATTTGAGTTTTTTTAAATAGAAATTATATTGAAAGAAGATTTCAAATTTATAAACTAAGTATTAGTTGAATCTTCTATCAATTAATTAAGGTGTATTAATTTTAATTGAGTAAATTTGAATCAAATAGGTTTATATTTAAAAATTTTAAAAATTGATTTATTTGAAATTAAAATCATTTTAATTTCAAATAAAAAAATATAAAGATTTTGAATTATTTCAAACTATGATGAGTTCTACTACAATTATATTATTTTGATGTACATAAGTTTATGAGACGGGAAATGAGAAAGGAGATAGGGGCATATATAGGGGTGTTGAAAAATAGGAAAATTTCATGGCGTAAGTTAGGTGTACGTAGGCAATATATTTTTGATTGGGAACATGATGAGCTGCTTTTAACCTAAACAAGAGACCCCATCCCATCAATCTGGATATTGTTGCCTCATGGTGGGGCTCCTACGTCTAACTATTGGTGTTCAAGTAAAAAATACTGATAAATATTTTGGGGCAAATACAAAAGAGACTCTCACACTCACTGCCTTTCACATGACTTTATTAGTTGGAAGCTAAGGCCTATCAATGTGTGGGGTGGATCCATTCCCTGTTCTCTGTCTATATATACACTGTTTATATTTGCTGTATTGATAATATAATGACTCAAATAATAATATATATCATCTAAAAAATTATAATAAAAAATTGTCTTCTGTTCCATAATGAATCTTGGAAATCCACAAGGCATCTTGTTTGTACCTCTTATGGGGGTGGGTGGGTTCAGCTTCAGCTTGCAATCCCATGTGGTAATCTTTTCCTTTTTTTCCCCTTATCTCATTTTATTTTCTCAAAATTTTTGGCCAAGGGAAGAGAATATGCAACCTGATAGTGATTTGTCAACAACTGTTTCTTCTATTCTCTATTTATTTATTTTATTATTTATTATTTTCATGGTGAGGCTGGCCTACTATCGCAACCCTCCATTGAACTGTTTACTTCTTGGATTCTCCACAATTCAGATCTAACATGTTTTTCTTTTTTATAATATATAATAATTTTCTAATAGCTGGATAATGATGTTGATCAGAATCAGATGAACATTTTATATATATATAAGCTTGGTAAATCTATTGTACTTCCATGTAATTCTGCTTAAAGTAAGAATACATTAGGAGTTTGGTTTTCTTTATCGCTTGAAATAATTTAAGACTTGAATTTAAAATAATAATAATAATGTACCTATATAATACAGATTATACAATTCCTAATTATTTTTGGAAGATGATTTTGACACGGAATTACTACAACCATACTATACTCCCTTTTATGTATGTATTTATATATATATACAACCCTATCCCAACATAATAATAATTTCAGGTTACACAAGAAAAGAATTTTCATACACAAAAAAAGCCAACTCACCTTTTTGGTCATACTCAAACAACTCTTCCTTTAACATGAAATGTAGCATTCGACGAGTTATTACTAAGCTGAAATCGGTCACCTTCGTTAGGCATACTTCACGAGTAATAATAAATGCTTTCCACTGCCCTACCATCCTCAGCAAAATAAGGAAACAAACCAAAACACTATTTCGTTAATTTTATGAGAATGCTACCAGCAAGAAAATAATTCAGCATTCACATGGTTATGACAAGACCATTTGAATATGAGTTATATTGACACTCGAGTTAGGCATACTCTTAGACATTACTATTTAAGTCCCCATAAATAAATAAGAAAATCAGTTACCTTATATGCTTTATAGGGCTTTACTCAAACTTACAAGAAAAAATGCGCAGCTTTCTCATTTACAAATCTATGCCTATTTTCCAGAAAACCAAGGAACTCGTTCTACATCCCCCTATTTGGGAGTATTTTGCAAATCCCAAGGCACAATCATCCTAATATTATCGAGTTCTAAATGTATTTTCTAGTTATTCGCACCAGAAAATAGTTGGGATACAGTGTCTTCTCAGTCCTCATAAGAATCCTGCAAAATATATTTATGAATATATACACCCACACATATATAATGACGAGGAAATTTTAAACATACGAGTGTATTCTAAGATTCCAAGGTTAAAATCAGGAAGAAGACTTTCCACCTAATCAAGACGCTGTTTCTGTTAGGTATCGATTTCAGGTTTGCACATCATAACATGTCATCCACAGATGCAAACCACTAAATGGCTAAATAGCTGTAGTATGCTGCAAACTTAGCAAAAAGAAGAGCTACATCTAATCCACAAAAGCAAGCGGATGCTCAACAAAATAACGGCATGACTACACAGAGAAGCGATCAAGAATCCAGTGATAAAAGGCACAAAACTAAATAAGTCGTGTATATGCTGCTAAATCGTCTTCATCCATGGCATATTATTGATGATAATGGGGACCTCTAAATATTTTATCAGGCTACAATTCTAGCAATATGGAAATGACCAAGACAATGAGAACAAAGGAAACCATCTTTATAATGTGAGAACAGAAAATATAGCTTTCTTTAGTAAATAAGACACTAATAACTCTGTGCATGTATCTTCTTTTCAGTATGGTAACTGGACATTTACACTCTGCATAAGTACATGTACCCACGAAGTGGTGAAATGAATCAATCTGGATATGTAACATGAATATAATTTAATATGAAAATTATACGTACGATTGATGGTAGAGTCATCCCCTGAAAACAATTGGCAGTATATTTATGGTTGCCAAGTATAATATACAGAGTGGTTGTCACCTAATTGAGGCCACTTTAGTCCTTAGCCAAAATGAAAACCAGATGACTTGAAGGAATTTGACAGATCAGGCAGCCTAAGAGTTGCAATAACCCCCGCAGCCAGAGCACAGAAGGAAGCCAAAATAAAGGCTGGTATATTTCCCCCGCCAAATAGAGCATCCCAAGGACCCGCACCAAGAGATACAATCATCTGAAGAAATCAATAATGCATTGAAAATCAGTGTTAACTAAAATGACTAACTCAGAACACTCAATGCCAGATTTTCATTCAATTTACAATACAATCGACATTTTTCTTCATTTGCCCAAAAAGTCACAAGAATACGACTATACGAGTTCTTCTAAATACAGAGCACCCAAAATATCAAGATATTTGAAGCTAAGATTAGGTAGACCATATGAACTATGTAAAGAAAAACCCTAAAGTAGCAAGAAACCTTCAGAAATATCAAAAAGAAAAGTAAAATATGCCAATATATCATATTCTATACCTGTGGAACAACAATTGCTAGGTTCAAAACTCCAATTGCCAATCCTGAACAAACATACATGCTGTTACAACCTTTTTCCAATTTGGCAACCGAATAAAGCAGAACTAGATAAGATAATTGAGATATAAACCTTGGCCACCACCAGAATCTGCAGTCAACTCTGCTGTAATGGAAAACGGAACACTATAGGTAATCTATAAGGAAAAAGAACAAATTAATTTGCAAAAATAGCATCAAATTTTTAAACAAAACCTTAAGGATGTAGAAATTTACTCCAAGTCATTTAATACATACAGCTAGAGGAAAGCCAAGAAGGGTGAATACAACCAGGGAAGCAGTCCTGATTGCTGCACTCCCTCCAAACACATGTTCGATCCCTTGAGAATATTCTTTGACGGATATCAAACTAATGATAGCTGTAAGGGCCATACAAGCAAACACAGTATAGTTGCCCATTGCCCAAACAAGTCTCGACCCCATCCGTTGACACATTGGTTTAATAAAGAATGAACTAACACCCAGAACAACCTACACAAAAATTTAACAGAAATATAACAGCTTTCTGAAATGAATAAAAAAGAGATCTAATCACCTACAGCCCTCAAGGAATATTATATTACAATAAAGTCAACAGATGAAGCGAAAGAAAAAAAACTAAAGATTAGCAACTGGTGTTCAATTTTGAGTTCTTACAGAATTTAATAGCAAACCAAATGCTCCTTCTCTAACACCTTGATCATACAACTTTATTTCAGAAGCATTCCCTTTTGGATCACCATGGTATACTTCTCTTCCCATCCAATCCGTATCAAATAAAAAGAATGGAAACCAGGAAAGCTGCAATGAATGGACATGAACACAACAATAATTAATTTTTGCTTTCCCTCTTCCTGCTTTCCTTACTTCTCACTGGCAGAAAGGAAAGGGTAGTGTGAAATTGAAGACAATCATCGAACAATTGGCTCATGGCCATTTTTCTTTTTTTTTTTTTTTGAAAAAAAAGAAGTGCAGATAACAAATTGTTGAGACTTACCCAACTGAGAGCCATAACAATAAGAACTGAGTGCATTCCAGGCGGTAAATGCCTTAAACTAGTCAATAAGTTGACCAATACAGATCCAGGCCCATCACTGAAAACTTCATTTTGAACATCTGTATCTTTTGAATTAGCATATCTGGAGTTTGACACTCGTTCATATGCATTTTCTGCAGTGTTCCTGTTAGAATTGGCAACAGCGGACACATCAGGTTTTGATTTTGAGTGTTGAAAGCCATTTTTCCTGGAATCGTCCAACAAAGGTGCAGAATCTGATAAACGAGTTGACTCATTTGCTGGCGGTAGAAGTGGAACCTCATTAGCAAAATATATAGTCACAGCAGTACAAAATAAGAGAAATACCTGCACAAATGCCAAAATTTTTAGCACATACAGGACAACATCAATTAAGTGTTAGGAAACATGTGCAACCATAACATGCACAAAATTGGCATTCAAACAAACTCAGATATTTTAGAGAATCTACACTACAACTTCCTTGTGAAACTTAGACTATAGCAGCAATAACTATTTCTAGGTCAACTCCGGACAATATGAGGATGACAAGAAATGATTTTTCTAGCTCATTGAATCAGCACTATAGTAATAGGTGCAACTAATGGTCCACAACATAAAAAGAAAATGGAACTCCAGAAAAATAGTTTCAATCACAGTAAATGTCATGCTCATTTTAGCGTACTTCGTCTAAAGAATCAATAAGCATAACTAAGCCACACCATGATTCAAGCAATAAATTGACAAATAATATTTAGGAGAAGAATTTCATTACAACATCCTAGAAAGATCTATCCTTGTGAAACTTCTATGTGTGATGCTACTTACAACAGCGACAAGAAATGCTGCTTTAAGATTGGCACAAGCTTCACAGCAAGCTCTACTTTTCAAGAAAGGAAACCATCTGTATTGAGATCATTTATAAGAATTAGTTCAATATTCAGATGCAGTATAAGATTAAACAAGTAACTTGCGTCTCCATAATTGTTCATTTTATCACAGTAAAAACAGATGAAAATCTTTTAACCTATGCCAACTCCCACTAGCACCAGCTGAAAATCCCAAGATGTTTCCAACAGCCATCCATAAACAAAAATATAGCATTAGAAGAATTGTGCTGATCAGGACCTGTCATACAGCATTTTGTTATGCACGGTATTAAAGCACGAATAAAAACTAACATCACAATGTTACCATGTACAGACTGGAAATTTTCCATATTTCTTAAGAGAGTTCACCTGATAGATCTGCCAGAAGGGCACGAGCTGGTCCCTAAGAAAATGAAAATTCATTATCCACACACACATACAACGGCAAACTTGAAAGGAAGAACAAATCACCATGAACGACTTACCTGAACTGTATTGTTAGCAAGATCCAACATCCAGAATCCAATAACAAAGACAAAAGCCGCCCTTGTTCGTGTACCTTTAAATGTACTGCATTGCACATATTATTTGGAAAATATCATTAATTTTTTTTCCTTTTTTTTGGAGAGTGGGGGAGGGGGAGGGACTATGAGAGAAGAGAAGAAATCAAAGCAGGAAAAAATACCTGCAATGCTCTGTGGTATCACCTAAAATGTATCCAATGTCGGCAGAAAACCCGATTACTATCACCTAATGCAAAACTCAATTTAGTAGATATAAAACACAGAAACCTAGTATATAAGAATGAATCATGTAACACTTTAATGCTTACAGCAACGGAGATCATGAGTGATCCAGCAAGGATAAAAGGTCGTCTCCTTCCATACTTTGAAGTGCATTTATCACTCCAAACACCAACACAAGGTTGAACCTAAGATCAAAGTACAATAACCCAATAGATCACAAATACAGATATTCATCGTTTTTCTGAGTTCTTTTAACCGTAGTCAATAGATCATTACTGCACTACAAAATCCATAGCCAAGAGCCAGTTAATAACTAAGATATCCTGTCCCCAAGGATCGGACTCTCATCCTCCCCCTTCTATAAGGACCTAGGATACATGAAAGCCAACGTCAACCATTTTATTTGTTAGTTCAAACAAATCAGAGTAATAAGTTACCGCATTAAAATATCACGTTACCTTAAGGATTCCATAATAACAAATAGGGCATCAATAAAGTTATATGTAATATGGTTCCCATCACCTACCACCAAACCAGTTATTGGACCGCAGAGCCAAATAAATGAAGAAAAAGCATGCTCTATTCCAAGTGTCTGCATGAATCAGACAAATATAAACAGTCAAACAAAAAGGGAAAAGCGTCATAAGCTCAAGAGAAGCTCAGAGCAGTGGAAAAGGAATTTTGGCAGAGGCTAATAAAATTAAAGATAATGTTGCCAAGTTTGATACAATGTTTTGAGAACAACATTACCATCGAAATTAGAGATAATGTTGCCCAATTCGTGATTATGAGAAGAGTTTGAAGAAAATAATAAAAAAAAAATTAGAGATAATGTTGCCCATAATCTATCTTTGCAAAATTGTAATTATACCCGACATCTATTCTGAAAGTCCATGACTATGAGGATTAAGCAAATTACTGACTAAACAATAATGAAAAATGTATTGCAGTGTCTAATTTCTAACTAAAGATTCAAAAATGCCAACAAAGTACTTGGTACTGAATGCTGATCTTTGTTATTTCTATATCCTAAAGTTAACAAAAGAAAAGCACAAAATGACATCTAATAATAACACTGATCTAATTCAAACACATTGCACGTAATTCAAACTTCACAACATGCATCGTAAATAACCTATTTTTTCCGTTAAACTATAACAAGCATAGGGGGGAGAAGGACCTGAATGTAAGGAGTCAGGAGGGATAGTTGCAGAGCCCAACCAAATTGAACCCCGGCAGCGATCGTACAGCTAAGAACAAGAGTTACCAAGCTACAATCCTTAGATCTAATGTGGATCGGAGACGATAGGTTAGAGTTACAGTTGGCAACTCTCGCCGATGGCGTTGACAAAGAAGTTGACGGAGAGCTAGGAGACGAATTTAGATCGATCAGACTATGAAGATGAGGATCTTCGATCATTTCAACCTCGGAATCTTTCCTTAAGTTCCTGTAAGGAACTTTAATGGAAACTGAGTCGCTCGTTCCTGCCATGGCCTCTTTGACTCAGCCGCTGATTATCCTCGACGAGTTAACTCAATAAAACATTGGGATTGAAAGTTTTGAATGCGCAATGAAAAAGTAGAAATTAACAATGAAATTCTTCTGTTATTTTTCTTTTGAAACTTAGATCTAATTACCAGAGAAGGGAGATGGAAGTTAAAAGGTCAAATTTGGGCGGGTGTCAAGAACGACGGTCGCTCGTTCGTCGTTCCCTCGCGTTTCCATCTGTTATTTGCTACATCACATCTTCATCAAAGAAATGCGGGTGCGCTTTATGATCTTTACAACTGTGATATCGATTCTCCAACTTTTGACTAATAATCATGACGTGTCGGTTGAAGATCGAAAGTTGACATCAAGTGAAAAATGCGCCGATGGAGTTTTAAATCAGGTGCGTTTATTAAGATGGGAACAAAAAACGTAAACCGTTGGTTTTAAGTAACACCCATGCTGAATTGCTGATTAAACGAGTTATTAGATTAGGTAAGTATATCTAGCCATTAAGTTTAAAAAAAATTATATTTATTTTAACATTGAATTTTAAAACGTCTAAATATTAACATTGAACTTTAATTTTAATTATAATTAAAATATTAAATTAATAAATCGTTGATAATGTGGTGAGATCATTACTTCTTTCTTATTTTTCTATAAATAATCGTCAATTTTTCTAATTATTGTATCAGTCAAATGTCGTCGATATCGGCCATCGTTTGCGACAATGTTATACAAAAGCATTTGTATCTAAACTCCTCTTTCTTTTTCTCAAATTAATGTTTTTACGAATTTATTTCAAAATTGATAAAAATCAATCTAAGCATTTATTATTCTCATGATCTAATCTTTTTAATGATAATTCATCGGGGCTAGTTTCAAGTTATGTTGTATTTGTGAAAGAATGTATCATCATTTAGATATTCAAATAAAATACCTCAAATCTCAATTTCGATAAACCCACAAACCTTATATATAATTATTGGAATCATCTTTCGGGTGGGTTCGGAATTGGACTTCGACTTAGGAAAATAGATTAGGAGTCGCCACCGATAATTTATTTTTTTAAAAGATGGGTTGATCGGATACCTTATTTCTTACCTGATCTGCGTCGCACCAAAGATGTGTCGGATTCGAGAGTTGGTTACAGTCAAGGAAGGGTTAGCACCCTTGAACTGCCATTTCGATACTACATAATTTCTAGTTATCTTTAATTAAGAAAATTGTAACTTTAAATTAAAAGGTAAAAATTGATCCAAATTACTTACCTTAGATTGATTTAAATTGTGGGGAAAAAAATATGAAAGGAGACAGAACATAAGAAAAAATAAAGAACAAAAATGAATAAAATAAACAAAATACAAATAAATGAATAAAAGATACAAAAAATGACATGAATAATGGTATAAATGATATATACATAATAAATAAATAAATAAAAGCAAAGAAAAAAAATAGATAAATAAAAAATAAATATAAAGAAAACAAAACCATAATAATAATAATAATAATAATATATACTAATATTAATATTAATAAAAATAAATAAAGAGGAAAAATACATTATATATGTAAAATAATATAATATGATATTTAAATAAAATGAATAAATGAATATATATATATATATAATAAATGTATAGATACATATATAATTAAATATTAGAGGGAAAAAATAATAATAGAGAAATAAAATAATATATAAAAAAGGATATAATAGTAATAAAAATAATAAAAATAATATAGTAAAAATAAAGAATAAAAATATAAAAATATATATGTATAATAATAATGGGGTCAATTTGAAATAAAAGTAAAAACCAAGGGCTAATTTAAAAGGAAATTTAACGTGAAGTTGAATTTTGGATCAGAACAAGGCTTTTAAAAATACAGGGGACTAAAAGGGTATTTTACCCTATTTTTGAGTGAAAAACGCGGATCTGAGGTTTGCTGGGTCGGGTTGATCGGGCTCCATGGGCGCACTATAAAACTTAATTTTTTTTAAAAAAAATCTTCCTTATTTTCTTTTGTAAACCGAGTCCCCCCTCTGTTTAGGTTTCCTCTCGCTTTTGTTCTTCAAATTGAAGAACAAGGTCGTGTTCTTCAATGAACCTAGAAACCGGCCGTGTGCGCCGCCTTGCTGCCGCCGTTCATCGACGGCAAAACTCCTAAAAATTGATTTTTTTTAAAAGCTCATCCACAATCTAAAAATCCAAACTTTTTTCAAAACTAGCCTCGTAGGGGTATGGATCTAGAAAATAGATTTGGAAAAATAACACCCCCGGATCCTCGACCAACTATTTTTCGTGAGTTCCTTGAGTCAAAAAAATAGGGGGAAATGAAGCAAACAAATGAGCATGCAAGTAAACCACTAAAGGTATGAACTTTACCTATTGTTCTTTCGAAAATTTGCAAAAGAAAAGCTCCGATTTCGCTCTAAATTGCTCGTAATTTTCTGTTTGTATTTCGTATACACTGTTGTGTACAATGAGTTCATTACAAGCATATTTATAGTCTAAAAAAACTATTCTTAGCCCCGACCTTTTAGAGTTTCATTTGAACTCTAATACTCGTTTGTTGGTTGTGGATGTATCCTTGTGACTCACATCGTTCTGCTTGTTGAACATGCGAGAACGGACGTGAAATCCGAGAGTAGGACACTCCATGTTTTGGAAACCCTAGCCTGATGGTCACATGTTTTGGGTCTATGTTGGACCAAAGTGTTCTGTTGGGTTGTTTTATTTGGGCCTGAAACATGTAAAATAATAGATGTAAATATATTATGTAATATAATTTATAATAATAAAGTATATTATATAATAATATTAATCAAGGGGACGAAATTAGGTGTCTTCAATGCCCCTCTTTGCTCATTATTGTGTAACGAAAATAAAGCAAAGATTAAAAGACACAAATTTCGTCTATATTGAATGTCCTCTATCATAGAGTTGAAGCCCGATATTTAAAACTGATTTGTCGAAGTGACTCCCTCGCCGTGAGGTTGAATTGAACTGGAGACTTCTGAGCATGAAATCCTTCGTCGTGAAGTTGAAATCAAACTCAGAGTATTATGAAGTGGCCTCTAAATCGTCTTCTGGCCTAAGATACTTCGTCGTAGAAGGTGAAACTTGACCTGAAGACTTCGGTGTTGTTGTGTCACAATGACTCATTCGTCATGAAGTTGGGTCAAACTGTTTGTGAAGTTGAGCCTTGGAATTGGATACCCTTCATCGTGAAGTTGAAATCCAATGTAAGTTGCGTTGTTTCGAGGCCAATATCCTTCGTTGTGAAGTTGAAATTGACTCTTGAAACTGGAAAGTTTATTGACAGACACTCCTTCTTTGAGTTGGATATCCTTCGTCGTGAAGTTGAAATCTAATCTAGAGGTGGATGTTGCTTATGTGTACGATTCCCTTCATCGTGAAGTTGAAACCGTGGATTGCCCCTTCGTCGTGAAGTTGAGCCTGTAATAGGATATCATTCATCGTGAAGTTGAAATTCAAGTAAGTTGTATTGTTTCGAGTCCAATATCCTCCGCCGTGAAGTTGAAATTGGCTCTGAAACTAGAAAGCCCTTTCATCGTGAAGTTGAGCCTCAAATGGCACGATATCATCCGTCGTGGAGTTGAAATCGTGGATGCGTGGGTACGATATCCTCCGCCGTGGAGTTGAAATCGTAGATGGCCCCTTCGTCGTGAAGTTGAGCCTTGACTTGAATATCCTTCGTCGTGAAGTTGAAATCCAAGTATTGTATGTTGTGGGTGAACACAATTCCTTTCGCAGTGAAGTTGAAACCGTGGATAACCCCTTCGTTGTGAAGTTTGGCTTTGAGTTAGATATCCTTCGGCGTGAAGTTGAAATATACTCTTGAGCAAATTGTGTCGTTTTGAGTACAATATCCTTCGCTGCGAAGTTGAAATTGACTCTAGCTAAAACCTGTAAAGTTATGCATATATGTGATGCTATGGATGCAATGCTCTTAGGTATGCCTAAAATGCATATGCAACATATGCTATTTTGGGATATGGAGAGAAATATCGATCTCTGGTTGCCTGTTTGGAATCTTGATTATGGAATCTTGAAGTTCTGATTCCTGATCTTGAATTCTTCAACGTTCAAATCTGATGTGCACATTCTATTTTTTTGATTTGGGAAATGTTTCTCGACCATCTCAATTATGTGCATGAGCCTTGATCGGCTTCAGGGTACCTGTACTTTTCAATGAATCTTTGTACAGTAATATGTGATTATCTTTTGCAGAAGTAAACAAATCATTAGGTTTAAGTTCAATCCTAGATGCTCAAAAGAAATTGATTTAGATAAAAGATTGTCTTTATTCATATGGGAAAAAGAACAAATAATACATGACAAATATTTTGGACAAAGAATGCATGATGAAGTGTGAATGAATGTCTCAGATCTCGATAATGTGGGCACTTCTGAGTTGAAAAGCCGTTAGGTGACCTTGAACGCAACATTTATCAAAGAATCTTTGAAAATGCGACAACGTTCTGGAGAGTGCAACCTTTCTCCGACTCGCTGAGTCTGTAGAAGATTCAGATGCCGGGATGTTTGCACTATCAATATCCAAGTCGCCCTTTCGGGTTTTCAACTTGGACCCATTCTTAGTTGCAAGACGCCCTTTGCGGGTTTTCATTTTGAGCCCACCTTATTTTTCTTTTATCTTTTTCTTGTGTTCTTTTTTCTTTTTCAATTTAGGGCGCCCTTTTAGGTTTTCACCCTAAACGTTTTTCTCTTTTTTTGTTCTTTTCTTTTCTTTTCTTTTCTTTTTTTTGACTTAAGACGCCCTCTCGGGTTTTCATCCTAAATGAAGTATTTCTTGATTGCATTGATGGGATGTGGTAGTTTAGGTTTGTCCATCTTAGCAGGACAAGGGCTTCTCCGGAGAAGGCCTTTTTCACGACATAAGGACATTCTCAGTTTGGAGTCCATTTTCCTCGGAAGTCTTTCTGGACTGGCCAAATTCTCCTCAGTACCAGATCTCCTTCGTAAAATATTCTCGGGCGCACCTTTTTGTCATGAGCTCGGATTATTCATTTCTGATAGATTTGACCATGGTGAATGGCTTTCAACCTCTTTTCATCTATCAGGTTCAGCTGATCATATGGATTGTACCCACTCTCATAATCCATTTTGACTTCTGTCAAGACCCGGAGTGACAAAATCTCTACTTCAATGG